TTTCCAACCTTCAGATTCTATGATTCTATGAAAAATAAGAGCCAGTTCACTGACTAGTTAGTCCATTTTTACTAAAATTTGCTGTCCTATTTTCAACACAGAAATAATTTCAAACTTCCTGTAATTATCCAAAATTCATAGCAGTTAATATTACTTGAAAAATAATTTAACTATAAAGAATTTCCTATTTAACTCTCATTAACAGAAAAAAAAATATTACACATTATCTCAGTGACTCAACTAATCAGATGCAGCTGGAAAAGGAATTTCATTATATACATTATCCAAACCAGATGATCGTGAAGTACCAATTACCCACATATAAAAGCTTTCTTCTATACATTCAAACAATTCAGTTGATAAGGACACATACTGTACCTTGCAATTTGGTGTTATTTTCGTCTGCTTTACAAAGCTTCAGCAAAGGCACCGAGTGCTGTTCCAACATTTGGACATCACTGGAAGATTGAACCACCAGCAAAACAAGGATGCAGGCATAATTATAAGCAACTGACTTCTTAGACTTTGAGTCTCTGAAACAAGAAGAAGGATTTTCTTTAGATCTCAGCTAATACAACTGGATAGCTGTTAGATTTTCATTCTTTGACATCTAAAAATCTACCTACAGAACTTTTACCTTTACCAAGGATTGCCCCATAAAATTATCCATTTAAAAAAAACACAATTTTCTCCTATGCTTTTTGAAAAGTGAAAGCTTTCTTTTACATTGACTTTGTATTTATTTCAGCATCCACAGAAGATGAGAGCGAGTCAAGCAGCACACAATCTTTTTCCATAACTTCAGTTTACAAACCTTGTTTTAAAAGCACTGCTACCTGAAGTAGTAAAACTGGCCAGAGAAAATAATGACTGGTTTTAACACTTATAAGAACATAAAGAACTGACAGATTCCCACCCCAGAGAACTGTGCAGTGTCCAGTTTCCCCAGTCAAATCTTTTGCTTCACAGTCAAATGTTATGCTTGAATGCAAACTGCCTACTTACGGATTATTTCATATAGCCAAAAGTCTGACTTGTATTACAACACCTTTGTGGATGGCCTACAGAGATTCTGGGTATTAAGTACTTGATTACAAATGACAGGCCTGATTTTCTGTTACATTCTTCTACTTAAAAGTTGTTTTCTTTTTAAACAAAAAAACATCAACATCGAAAAGAAAAAAGTATTTTAGATTTACTGAATTATTAATAAAAGATAGATACTTTTAAAATGTAAAAACCTAAAGGATATAAATAAAAGCATAAATTACCCTAAAGCTTCTTTGGAATAGTACTCCATTAAAGTAATAAGACTTTGGAGATTTTTCTCCAGACTGAATACATGAGCCACAGCAGATCTTCCCACGGGGTTAAAGGTAATCAAGTAAAGGTTGTGAAGTGTTCCCAGCAGATCCGAATGGTCAGTCTCCTCACTGGCTGTGCACCGCTGAAAGTGGCAGAATAATTCTGAAATGCACTGTAACGTCTGGGTTGAATGCAGGAGCCACAGGGCAAAAGTATCCTCATTGGCACTATCTGACTGGAGACCCTCCTCTTGATCCGGATCAGAAAATTGACAAAGTGCTCTAATCAACAAGTTGGTTGCTTCGTACTCGGAAATAAAGAAAAGAAGACCCTTCTGTGACTGTGCCAGAAAACGCAATATATCTCGTATAGCTTGAAGCACACCTGGATGTGCACCTGTCACTGGAATAGACAGTAGCAAAGTAATGCATTCCAAGAAATGGTGACTATGAAGATATCTGGGGGGGGGGAGGAAAAAAAAAAGGAAAATAATCAGCAATATTACAATCACCTGTCAACACTGCATAACACTATTATGTGAAGTTACATGCCTCCTAGCTTCAGTACTTATTGCTCTGTGGACTATGAGAAGTAATAACTAATTATGAAGTAGTACAAAATTTTAATCTTACAAAACATAATTGCTATAATATTTACAGGAAACAAATCCCTAAAAATAAAGTTCTGATCTCCAAAATAACCCAAACAAAAAAAAAAAACCTTATCTACAAACAAAATAACACTTTAATTTTATTGAATTTGCTGTTCCTGAATCATCAGCAATGCTGCATTAAAATTTTAAAATGTGCTAAGAAACCAATCATTATAGCATATGCATGATGTGATTTGAAGACCCTTTGCCTGCAGATACTTATATTCAGCCATGACCGACATCACTACCAACAAAGAAACCTGTTAGCATTTAGAGAAATACTTTCTAAACAGAAACTTGCTAACAGAGAAATAACCCATGGGATCCTTTAAATGGCTGAAGGCAAGCAGGCCTCGGCTGCTCTGCCTGTTCTGTGAAACGGCAAGCTACACTCACACAACTGCACAACTTTTAACCTCGTATCTTGCCAGCTCAGCATACAGAGGTATTCCAGACTTGTTTTATCCATATGCACAGATGTTTTCCAGAACAACAAAGGCAAAACACTCTAGATCTATAGCAATTTTTAAATATGCGCTTCTTCAGCACCTAGCGCAACTGGCCAGGACCTATGAACACAACTGAAGTGCTAGCACAGTACCAGTAATAACAAGAGATTAACTCCTTGTTACATGCATGCGAGGTTGATTGAAAGCCAACAAAATAACGGGTACATTAACTATCAAACTCTCTCAGACTTTATAAGCACAATCCAGAATCCTCCAATAAAGTACAAAGTGAAACATCTACAAAAGTATTAATCAACAAGGTCACACCTAAAAAATATCTGTATCAAGCTAGAGGAAATACGCTCTAGAAAGTAAACTTGCAATTGCCGTACCTAAACAGGACAGGGTAAGGATCATCCCTTTCTGGAGGGCCTGTAATGCGTGCCATGGTTGGGAAAGATTTCACAGGTGGCTGAATCATTGTATGAGGAGCAGTTTCCATCAAATGGAAGATTTCTTCAAGAAGACTAACAAGTTTTTCCATCTCTCCTTCACTTATATTAGAAGATTCCAAAAGATGATCCATGTCCATAGGAGTCTCCACATCATTCTCATATTCTTGGTTGGTTCTTTCAAGTCCTGACAAGTCCTGGTCCTGTTCTGGCTCCGTGTGATTAGGAAGAGAAGGAGTGTTCTCTGCTAACTGATCAACCACCTTTTTAATATCTGACAGAATCTCATAGAAGTGACATTTCTGGAGAATTGCAGAACCAGCAGTAACTACTCTCACAGTCTGATCTAACAGTATGAGTTCCAGGAGTTTCTGATAACCACTTTTTTCATGTACATCTACGCCACCCCTTAGAAACATTTCCATTCCCTCAGTCATACTAATAACGCTATCCAAAGCTTTAAAAGCATTAAGTTTAAGGGAGGATGATACATGATCTGCAAACAACAGTTCAAATAACACATTAATAACTCCTGCCTGTAAGAGTGCCGTTATTCCTTGAGTCCCACATTCTCCTAGCGACGATACCAATTTCGTCCCAGCTTTGAGTTGTCGGACATTCAAAGCAATGGGTTGTTTCAGAGCTACCTGAAGGTTTAAAGCTTGCAGGGTCCAGTCTACTAGCTGGGTAATATAGTTTTGCTTTGTGTCTTTCACCTGCAGGTAGCTCAATCCTTTTACTATTAAACTTGGAACTTCCTCTAATGCAGTGACCCACTTTGCACCCCTTTCCTCTTGATATAATTCCAACAGTTCAGTTAATTTAACCGAGGCTTCCACTGCCCCTGAATTTTCTTTTTCTGGGTCTTGGTCCTTTATTTTACCAACTTCATTTTCAAATACAGTCTTGTAAGGGCAGCTGAAGTATAAAAGAGGTCCAAGCTCCCTTTCAAAAGGTTCATATGTCACAGGAGGCACAGATGCCAGATCCTCAGGAGTATACTCAATATCAAAGCTCGGATACTTAAATGTTTCACGTTCCAGATCAGCAATTCCATCTTCATCACTTGAAATCTGCTCATATCCATCATCTCCTACAAAGAAAAAGATTCAGTTATGAAATAAAATCGGTTATGGATAAACCAGTTTATAACTGCTGAGAAGCTGCTCAAAATAAAGAAGTAATAATTTATTTAATACAAATATTACTGGTTAGAAAACAATCATACACTAACATACAGAAAGCTTTCTCTCTCCAGATATAAGTGAAAGCCCCAGTTGACAGACTTTTTTTTTTTTTATGTAATAGTGGAGATATTTAGAAGAACGTGTAAAGCAAAAAGTTTAACTAAGGTACAACCAGGTACTAGAAGAACATTGTCCAATTTTCTTCCTATGATTGCATCTATCATAAAACTTCTAGCCTGAAATTTTGCACAGGCATGCGTGGGAGCTTTAAGTAATACAAGATGATGATTACCAACATTATTACATAAGCACCTTTATTTGAATTTTAAGTAATTAAATTTTATTTTTAAACAAAACAGATAACAAGATTGAATGTTCACTCTCTCCTATAAAAGCTGTATCTATTTTCCCCTATTTATAGAAAGTAACAGGAAGATTTGCTGTAAAGGAATAAATATTCCACAGGAAAATACTGTTCTCAAGAGACATTAGAACCCTAAAAAAGGTAGGCAATGGTGCAATGACCAAAGGAAGAAGATCTAATTGTCTTTGCACCTAGTCATCATAATGGTACTGCCATCAAAATTTCAGAAATCTGGTTTTTTTTTTTCTTAAGTTTTTATAACTTCACTTACCTTCACCTTCTTCTTCCTCTTCACCCTCTTCTTCATCTTCATCTTCCTCCTCCTCTTCCTCTTCCTCATCAGCAATACTCTCTACTGTATGCCCATCATCATCATCCTCATCCTCCTCCTCCTCAACATCCACATCATCTTCATCTTCTCCTTCTTCTGGTTGATCTTCCTCCACTTCTCCATCATCAGAATACTGGCTTTCTTGATGAATGGATGTTCGATCAGGAGAAATGGGCTCAAAGTAATCCTCTCGATGGTCTACATCACCTTCTTTTTCCCCAACCACTAAAAATATATACAAAGGTTAAGAAATAAGAGTACTTCTCTGAAATCCAATGCTCAATAGTATGTTTTAGAATTTTTCATTAGACATAGTGGCAATACAAAAAAAAAAGCATCTTGAAGAAAATCTTCAGGTGATTTGACTGAACGCAAGCAACAATCACTTAGTTCAGTAAGACTATAAAGAAACATGTAAAGAGTTCTTGGCACTTTTAACCCATACAGACACCACAGAACTCAACAGATGCTGCAGAGGTATGGAGGAGAAGGGCAATGAATACCAGAGTCAACAGAGCATTTATATAAAATATGAGCAGCATGTTCAAGCAGAGTATTGGTCAACAGCTGATGTTCTCAAATCTACTAACTTTTAAATTGATACACTTTAACATAGCCAACAGATTTTCTTTCAAATCCCTTTCCAAAAACTGAATCTGTCCAGCAGAAGTAACAGCAGACAGGAAACTTCACACACAGCAGGAACACAGAATTCTGCCTCCACTAAGCAGAGATGGGCAGCAGATAAAACACAGTCTGTTCTCATTCTACCTGACACTGGCATAGGTTCATCCTCATCATCATCAGGAGGAGGAGGGCCTGGAGGTGTCCTTGGTCCCCTAGGTTGTGGTCTTGGAGGGCTGCCATTGAACTGGTCTTCCTTCTCTCCATCAACTATATTTAATGTGAAAATAAAAACTTGCAATTAATAGAATCACAGGAATAGAAGCAGGAAATTTTATTTTTTCATTGCTACTTTTAACTAGGGGACATCTTCAGTTCCGATCTGTTATTTAATCTGTATTCTGCATCTGCAGTATGTGAGGCAGTTTTCTGAAGTCACTTTTGATGTAAACAAGAACTATATCAATAAGCAACCTTATTAACACTAGTGATGTTTTTTTAATATAATACTGGGTTAAAATTAACATGGGTGATTGCCATTTTTGGCTTTGACTCTACCAATATTGTAACTCTACCAATAATATCTGGGTCACTTTAAAAAAAAAAAGTTTACATTTTAATCAACTGGGTTTTACTACACAGAGTATTCAAATTTTGCAGCCCAAAACCTGTACCTTGAACAAGACAGTTCTAATTTTAAATCTAAAACCAAAATTGAAGCAGAAACTTGATCATGGATTCTATTCATGGCCATTCTAACCCCAATGCAAAGCAAACACTCTTCTGTAATGTACTTAACATACAAGTCACAAAAGGAGTTAATTATGACTGTGAAATTTTGTTATGATTTTAATACTAATCACTTTTTTGAAATTCCAATCATCTAAATTTTAATGAGTGCACATAAATTTAACTGCATTTTGACCATCTTAAGTAATTAACAACAGATCAAGTAACTCAATCTCAAAAAACCACTAGACAAGAATGTACGTTAAACCATTCAATATAAATTTAAAAGAAAATACAAAACTGAAGGATGAAGATGTAAAGATAGAAAACTAAAGCCACTGAAATCTAAAATGTGAAAGATTTGGGTTTTTTTCAGATGAAAACTATAATGTTTATTTAAAAAAAAAAAAAATCTATGTCTTCTCACAAGGCTTACCATGTTTTGGGTTTCTTTTCAAACCAGGCTGCTGCTGGGGAGGTGGTGGCGGAGGTGGGGGTGGAGGAGGTGACTCTCTCTCATGACTTATTACCCTGTCAACTGAGCCATATATTGCCAAAGTCAGACAGTTGTACCACCCTCTTAGAACCAATCCATCTGTGTTCACCTGGGTTTTTTAAAAAAAGAAAAAGCACTTAAAAACAACACAAGACAACTTCGGAAAAGTTCTTTTATTTAGTGGTTATTAGTAAATATACTGATATAGTAACAGTATCTGCATAAAAGCAAGAAAGGAGAACCCAACATTAAAGTATCTCTTTACCCCACATTTTGAAAACTGAGAAAACTTTAAATATACCAATCATCACAACAAATAAATAATCTTTCTGTAAAAGCATTCAATTTCTTGCAATATATTGCCTGAAGTACTACAGCCTATTAATGAAAAAAAAAAACAAAAAAACAACCGTGGGTCACACAAACACTGATTTGAATGAAATAAACCAAACCAAAACTGAAAATGATGTGCTTAGCTGTGGCCTGCAGCCACAACATTCTGATTCATTTTTGCTCATAAGTAGTGGATAGTTCTGTTGGTAATCTCCATAGCAATTGTCAAGCAATCAATCTTCTACAACTTATGTGATTATAGATGCAGACTTTAAAGTAATGAGTATCTGAATTACAGGCAGGTTTTAGAACAAGATCTTACACAGTAAAAGCTCTGCATAGTGCTAACACACCACGTGCAAACATATTTATACCTAAATGACAGACATGTAGAAAAGGAGGTTTATATCACATCGCATTACCTTTGCATTCGGTCTGAAAATAATTGAAGTGTTTTCGTCATATTCAAGGCTGTTAAATAAAATATACAAAGTTATTTTTCCACTAATATAAAGCATGTTTACAGAAATGAAACACAACAGTATTAAACACATAAGCCAATAATACAACCCTGAACAATACACGCTCTTAAAAATAAGAGTGCAAAATAACTTATTTCTACAAAACACTTTTCATTAACATATATGGGCTCTGTAAGTTTAAAAATAACAGATTTTTTTCTTCTTTTAAGCATGAACCTCTGTCCTCCCACACAGATTGGAGGAAAAGGGCAAGAATCCAAACTAGCAAAAAACAGACTAAACATGAAAATCATGGGAGATACAGATTTTCTATCGTGCATTTTCTGCACTAAAAAATTCTCAGGAAGAAAAGGTAGGTAATGCAGTCACACACTAATCTTGAAAGTACTTACCTCCCCAGCCTATCAAAAACAGGGGCACTTGGCTTGCTGACATTGTTGAAAAACAAGTCCAGTTGAAATGTATGTGGGGATGTCTCTCTGGAAATAGAGGTAAAAATTAAATCTGTCAAGCTCCTTATCAGAGTAAGTAGGACTAACAAGGGAAAAAACATTTTACATTATACTGCTTAAATAATTCCCCAAACCAATTACAAGTTAGTAGACACATAAATGCATTTTACCTTTTTATATAGGAGGTTCTATTGACATATACAAGTTCAAGAGAAAAAAACAAAACAAAAAAACACAAACCAAACAGGAAGGTGTTCCTGAATCAGACACCTAGTATCTTTTCACTTACCCATAGGCCCTACTGTCAGGCAAACTTGTGTGAGCTCGCACTCCTGGAGGAATCACACGTACTTCATTTATATAAACCACGCATGGAAAACGAACTACATCTATATTGGTACTTTGCTACAAAACAAAGAATAAAGAAAGTCTAAGAAATGTAAAATGCAAACAACATAACATACTCATATTTTTTATTAACCAAATTAAGGTTGCAATCCTAATAATTTCAAAATTCAGTTGTGTAAAATGCTAAACACTCAAAAACTGTTAGACAGAAAAGGAATTTTTTTTATAATCTTCTGGCACTTTTCATATATTTAACACTATTTTTTATGTAAAGTGTTACTGTTTATTTACATAATTAGTTCCCTTTATTTGTGAGAATCTTTGAAACAGTAAGGTTTTTTTTCTAACAGAAGATACATTGGTAAAGGTAAAAAATAGAACTTAAATTATTAAAAAGAAAGACTGAGTATATGGTTCCCTTTTAATAAAACATATCAATTTTATAATTAGATAAAAATGTGTGTTTTAATTTTAAACAATACTAAATGTTACATTTCAAATGTAATATTAGAAATTATAATGGTAGTATAAATCTGTTTTACTAGACGTGTACAAAAATTCTGTACAATGCTTATTTCTCCTATTTTGCAACACCACCTGAAAAACTTTTCCAAATAACATTTCTGTTTACCACACAGAAATAGCAAGTAGAAAGAATTCTTACGCTTCAGCACTCCTAAAAGATGTTTGAGCAAACTAGGGAGTAATCATAAAGTCACAGTGACTTCCAATGCAGCAGCAACCAAACAATGCTGAAAGTCTCCTCTCGGTAAATTCACTACACTAGGTCTTACTATACTTCTATATCATCTCTACCATGTATACACTCACAAAATAGTACGCATATATAAACTACATGTCCAACTGTAAGCATATAAAGACTTTCTTAAACAGAAGCTGAGAATCACATTTCTCACTGAATGTTTCCAATTAGCAAACAATTAGCAGACTGCTAGGAAAAAAAAATATAAACAACTGATCTAAGTGTCTGCCAACTTAACTAAAAATGAAAATTAAAAACCAATTTGATCTGCAGTCAAAAGTTATATAACTTTCACCACAATCAGAAAGTACATGAAACCCCAAAATTGTCAGCATAAGGCAAGAAAGTACTAATATTTTTAGAAAGCTAAGAAACAAAGAAATAGACACAAGTAAAGTTTTAAAAAGACTGTTTAAGCATGTGCTTTTGGGCACATATTACTGTCATCTAATAAGAAATCTATGCTTACATCTTTTAGCACACAAATACAATGCCTTGTCCTAAGGGCTGACGTGTCACAAGCAGGAGGGTAGAATAAAAGGAACCTAAAAGGAACCTCGCCACGGCAGGGAGCATGGCTTTATTTGGTGGACTTGGCAGTGCTAGATTAACAGTTGGCCTTGATGATCTTAAAGGTCTTTTCCAACCTAAGCAATTCTATGATTAACAGGAATGGGGTGATTGTAGCCTGCAAGGAGCGAGGACTGTGAGAGCTCCTTGCTTTGCCTTTTAAAAAAGGTATACATGTCACACGAGAGATGCAGATTTCTGGAGGAAGGGCTGCTGCTGAGGCTTGATCCCCAGCAGCGCTGCCCAAAGACAGGCAAATTCCTGCTCAAATGGTACGGGATTATGCCCCAACAGCCACGCAGCTAGATCATCAGGATGGCTAGTGGATCAAACCCACTTTCCCTCCAAAACATTAAATAAAATAACTACATCAGAACTGTTCAACACGTGTTACACTACATAGCTAAGCCAAATAAATAATTTTATTAGAAAACTCAGCAGTACTTTTCAAGAATCGCAAGTTCCAAGGCAAAACTCAGGATCCATCTAGCTGAAGAATTAGTATAACATGAAGAAGGCTTTTCTGCAACATGTAAAATAAATTTAGGGGTTTTTCTTTAATAAAAATTCAGTATGGTTCAGGCTTGGAAAATGGCACTGGCAAGAAAGAAAGTGCCAGAAAACATTACACACAATTAAAAATGTTCAATAGGAGAGCATACTATCCTGGAGGGGAACAGGAGTGGCTAGTGTTTCCTACCCAGGGGAACAGCAGTGGGTAGCGTTTCCTGCCCAGTACAGTCTTAAATAGTAGAATTAAAAATAGATCTCCCTGATCCTGGCAGCTAGAAAGGACTGCAATTTGTTTTTAATTGCAGCATCAACTCAAAATACTTAATTTTCCCTCCCTAATGCCTGGCCATTAACATAGTTGAGATATTCCATGATTCTATAACATCCTTCTCATGTTATACTACACTTTTCATTTTCCCCCTGATGGTCCCCTTTCTCCTCCCTGAACAGCACAACGGGCTGAGCCCTGGGCAAACCTGCTGCGACACAAGCAGCTTCAAGGATGCTCAGGATCCCAACAGCCTCGAAGTGGAACATTTGCATGATCTCCCGCTGCTACAGCTAACTTGAAATACTCATTTTGTTTACGATGCACGGAAGCTGCATAAATCTAAGGAAGTACCTCACACACAAATACCCCTCCTCCTCATTAGCTATAGAAAAGCATTAGGTATCTCACAAATGGCCGAATATTGCCCTCTCCCCGACTTCCTTCCTTATTGACTTCTCGAACCAGTTTTATCCTCTTTGTTTCCCGCTAGCCTCTCTTCTCCTTTACCTCTAAATCTTCGCTCCTTTCGCACTGCCGTTCCCTCCCCCAGC